AATATAATCAATTTATCAATACTGTTTAGGAAATAAATTATTATTAACTAACTTTGCAGCAATTGCGCAAGTAATAATAACTTGTATTCGCACTAAATGGATTTAAGTTCATACAACATTATATATATATATATATATATATATATATATTCAAAGAAAATTTTTGATAATAAACTTGGATATGTGACATTCAGTGTTTAGAATACATGTATCCAGTCTGCAAGTATAAAGAGAGCAGAATTGAAACAAAAACAAAAAAGTGAATAAAATAATATAACGAATTTCTGAAAAGTCCTTTGTCTCTTTCAAGAAACAGCCAAAAAATTTTCAACAATGTCACGTTTCTGAATGATATCCAGATTATTATAAATCCTTAAAATAATTCAAAAAAAGGTTAAGTTAATTAAAATTATTTCAAAAAATTAATTTAATTAAAATCGTTAATTGAAGTTCGTTAAAGTAGAATAAAGTAAAAATTCTTTCTTGGTTATTCATCAAGATATGATCTGCTCCAATATGACCTTAAACAAAAAATATTGTAATTATAAATTCTTGAAGTATAATAAAAAAACACTGAGCAAACTTCAAAAATGAGTATATTATGTATCAAAATTTTTGAGGAATCGAATTTATTTAAGAAGGTATTTACTAAAAGTAAAATAAAAAAGTTTCATTGATAATTTATGCAGAAAAGCTTTCAAACTGAGGAAAAACTATACAAAAGGATAAAAATCTTATAGTATAAAATGGAGAGAAAAAAATAAGTATTAAAAAAGCAATAGGCCTAACACTGGTAATAATTACAATTAAACTGAATCAATTAATTCAGTTCAATTACTCTGAATGGAATATGAAAAGTAAAAATAAAACCTCAAAGAACTAATTCAACCATATGTGATTTACCGCAAGACTCAAAAATGCTGTTTAGAAGTGTACGGCCAAGTTGTATGATAGGAGGGAAAGTAGTAATAAAAACATGTTAGTCATAATTGTATCTTTCTAACGCCATTCATGGTTTTTCAATGCGCTGATCAGATAGCATGTAGAGACATTAAGATTTTTGGAAGCTGGAGAGATGAAAAATTAGCAATCGCCTTCGCCGGGAATCGAACCACGAACCTCTGGAAAATCGGCCCACCGTGCAGAACCATTACACCACGAAGGCACGCTAAGAAAGCTTTGGTGTATGGATTTTTAGGGGACCCAATCGCCAAATCCTGGGTGTGGAGAATGTTCATCCAACACCCTTTTTAGTTCGGGCGCCAATGTAGAGACATTAGGTAATTTTTGGAAGCAGAAGAGATTTATTTATTTATATTTTTATTATTCCGCTCGCTTCACCTCTCAATGCGCACCACAGGTCAGCATGTTATTCTGATCGTTGCTACAGCAACCTATTTTAATTGTTTATCTTTTCAACCTATATAGATAAACAGATTTAACAATAGTTATTACTTTTGTTGAGTACTCCAACTTAAAATGTTTTGGGAATGTTAATATAAAATTAGCAAAAAGAGCTATTTAGCTTGAGATATTTACATATATACATGAGTTGAGGCTTGCTCCTTTTACATTTCGTCTAGTGCTTAGACCTGGTTATCTACTATGATTATGTTTCTCTTAGTATTATAGTCTCTTAGTATTATTAGTATCTCTTAGTAAGATATTTTGTAAATAACAGATCTTGATTTTATGATCTTAGGACAGCAGATCATAGTCATCGTTCACAAAATAACACCATAAAAATGCTTAAGAAAGTGGAACATGAAATCAAGTTTTTCATTGGATGTTTTGCGTGCAGCCGGAGTTTGCATATATGGAAGTCTATTAAATATTTTCAAGATTATTATAAACTTTTGGAGCTTATGCATTTGAGGCTCAAAGCATGTTTCTATATCAATGCAGAATAATGAATATGCAATTTTTGTATAAGTATTTGTGGACACTCTGTATATTACTGTGTCAAAGTATTAAGAATGAACACATCTTTAGGGGATCCAAGTAAATATCTTACAGCTGACAATACTTGCTTTTCTTTTTAATGCATCGTAAAATATTTATTTTTTCTACAGACGATACTTAATAATTTTCGTATACCAGCTGCAGTAGCTTCCACATAACGTTACGTTGAATAAGTAAGGGTAAGAATTACGATAGGTATTAATGGGATAACATCTTTTGTCGAACAAGTGAGTACTTAAAATACTCGAAAGGGGAGATAACGTTTTCATATTTTTTTCAAAGATTAATTACAGGCCTGATAGTATCTGTAACTTGTTAAGCATATGATTTTAAAAAAATAGCCTGGTAGCCGTAAAAGGTTCATAAACCTTTCCAACACAGATCCTTCTTTATTATGGTAAATCTTACATGATCATCGGCAAAATATGTATTCGTTTTTAAGTCATTTGGCATTTTAAGACTGCTTTTAAAAAAGCGATTTTTATTTTATATTCTAACGTTTTGTTTTCGAACTGCAAGTGGTTTTTCTTCGCTACACTCAAAAGCTTCAACATGTCTTGAAATAACTGCAGTTGAACTTCTTTGACGCAATTATTTGACAAATTACATCAAATCTGGAAACATAAGAGTGAAAGGTACTAACTCTCTTTCTATTTTTATATATGAAAAAGTTACTGCTTTGATTGGTATAGTGGTTAGAGCAGGCTGACTACCGTATCATTGGGCCCAGACTCTAGTACCAGAAAAGAACTAAATGTTTGTAAGCGCTGTGTTTTCATTATGGATCTTATAAGAAATAGACTAACCCAAACGGGTTTTCTCCCTCATCTGAGGCGTTGCCGGCTGTCACCTTGATCCCATCCGGAGGAGTAGGGACGACTTGCAGTCACGTTGATCACATCCGGAGGAGTAGGGACGACTTGCAGAAATTTAACATTGGTTTCCTATTGCAGCGTGTATAATTGTCAAGAAAAAGCTGGTTGTAGCGTCTCATTTCACAAATTAGAATTTCTACATAATTTTATTTTTGAAATTAAGATTGATTTTTAAAAATTTAGCATATTTATCAAGCATAATTAACGTTCCAAATAATTATAAAGCTATTACGTGCTTTCAGGGCTGGATATATTTTTAGCTTTTCCTATGCTGTAAGGAAATTTGTAACTAACAATTTTCTTTAGAAAGTCTTTTAGTTTTCTTTTAGAAAATAATATCTTAAATCTGAACTAATAGAAAATTTCAAACAAACAATTTTCTCTTGCAATTTTTATGCTTTTTATTGGTGTGTAAATAAGTAAAAAGTACTAAAATATTTAAAAACGAATTTTTGAAGGTTTTGTTTAAAATTATAAATTCTGCTGCTTTTTTAAAATTATAGATGAGTATTATAGCACAATTTCTATAAAGGAATTTTATTTCAATTATATTTCATAATATATCGTGATAAACACTTTTGACTCCTTAAAAATGTTTATACATTTAATTCTAATATTAAAATTGTATTTAACCGTTATAATTAATTTTCCAGTGATTATTTTTTAATTTATTTTTAGTTTTGCATAAGATTTTTTTTATTTACTGTTAATTTAATTTATTATCTCAAAGCGGCGATAGCCTATAAAGGCTGTTAGTTTCGAAGCGGTATTTTGCGCTGTTTTACTATAAGTGTCCCTGCCTCCTTGCAAATTGTTGTTACCAAATATTACCGCCCTGTATTATATGAAGAGAAATTAAATAATGAAGAATACGTTTTGTAATGTTATTAGACTTTGGAAAATCACTGCCTGAAAATGTTCATTAAATTTAAAAAAAATTATCAAATCTTGTTTAATTTTACTTTATTTATTTCAAAGCATCACGTACTATCAATCTTATTTAATTTTACTTTATTTTTACGCAAAATTAAATTCATAAATTTTGTGCTTAAAATTATGAACCGTTTTTACCGTTTAATTAGTTTTTACCGTTTTACCAAAGTAAAGATGTTTGTACAAGAATTACGCGTGAAATAAATGCGCGAAATGCAGTAACAAGTGCTTTAATGAGATATATTAAATACTATTTGGAAAAAACTGTGGCTTTCATAATCTCATCACTATACAATGTATCACATTTAATAATTAAAAAGAGTTATGTGATACCAACGCCATAGGTTTCAGTGTTAAAGTAAACAAGATCGTCCCTACTCTTTCTTGCCGACATGTCGGTGACACGCGCCCCGCCCACTGGGTTAGTCTATCTCTTATAAGGTCCATGGTTTTCATACGTTTGGGGACGCTTGTAATACACATGGAATCTAAAATCATGTCACTAAATTTGGTGGTAAAGAAGAAAAATGGATGTAATCTGTCTTACAGGAGCTTATTCAAAATCAGATTTTTACTAACTACAGACGCAATGCTGCACACCAGGCCTTGTTTTGATTTTACTCACAGAGAAGTGAGATAAGTCGCAACACAGTTTCTTAAAAGGGATGATTTCTGATTAACAGTACGTTGGGCAGTCTTCTTAAGACCGTAATAATCGTAGAATTGTTTCGTGGATAGCAAAGGGCCTACCAAGTCAGTGTCAATATAACGCGAAACCTTCATACATGGAGTAAGTTCTTAATGGGCTTGTCATATGACGATGTTGTTTCGTTCTGTGGAGAATGAATTTTGAAAATGGGCTTCTGCCATACATTAGACTCATTATTAACGAAGTAACATAAGAAAAAGCTTTCAAAGAAAGTGTACTTATAGCCAAAATTTTTGGATTGGCTAAAAATGCATAGCTTATGTATTAAAAAGTTATAAAACTGATGTATTTCAAATTTATAAATATATGCACTGAAGCAAAATTCAGTAACATTTGGTAATGGTTTCAAGATCGACAGCAAAATAATTTTGTGTTGATACTACCAATAGGAAAGCATATATTCCAGATATATTAATGTGCAAAGCTTTAAAATTTCCATATGTATAAATTTTATACACATAGCATGCGATCTCATTAGTTGATTATCGTATTTAATTATTTTGATTTCTTTTATCTTGCAGAGGGTCGCATTCTTCCAGCAAATCAAAGGCAAAAAGTATTTCAAAATGGAACTTTGTTGATTACGGAAGTAGAACCGGAAAATGACAACGGGCGCTACAGCTGTGAGGTTAGATCTCAGCAAGGAGTTCCTGTGTCTCGAACATTTCCTATTTCTGTTAGAAGTAAGTTATCAAAATTTAGATTTTTGCTTATATACATTGCAATGTCTACATTTAAGTAACTAATAACGTAGAATATCCAAAATGAAATACTACAGCTGTTAGAAGACACTGTAATACGTAGAATTGTTAAACTAGCACTGACCATTAAGCATACTGTTTTCGTCTCGCGTGCTAAAAACGGTTTTGCGTCTTTGCTTATTCGCTCCAAGATCATCAAAATTTCTCTAGGTATGAGATGCGGATCGTTTTATGGATCATTAGTGCAAGAGATGAACGTCCATTGATAATTCAAAGACACATTTGTGCTGTTTAGGGTGGTATAATGATATAGTGGAATGTTATGAAGTGATGCTATGCATTCCTGACTGATATCAGTGGAGAACAAGGAATTGATACCCTGTCCTTAAAACCCTTTGTTGTTCAGTGTTCCACTACATGGAACACCCAACTTGAATCGCTTCTGAAACCATTAAATTCAACCTTAAATGGATAAAAATGCCTTTATAATATACTTTTAAATATAATATACTTTTTTTTTCTTTTTAAACAGTAGATGGCAGCATATCACAAGAAGATCCAGAATTTTCACCTATGATGTGTTATTAAAATCCACTTATTTTCAAATAATTTTCTCTATTTTTTTGTGATACAAAAAAAAAAAAAAAAATGTTTGAAAAAATTTCTGTATAATTTTAATGGCTGTACTCTATATTATTTGTTCTATTTTATTTTTTATTTATTTATTTATTTTTTAATTTTTCATACAAAAAGCCAGTGCAGAATCATGGAATAAAACAGGGTGTTCCATCAGCGGGAACACTGCGCCTTTAGCGATCTCATGCTATTACGCATCAGAATATCCGTTCTAAGAGAAAACTTCTGTTTATACCTTTTATGTTTCTGTTGTTTTGGGGGGAATGAATTCAAACAAAGCAGTATTGAGGTTGAGGTGTGGTTTGTGCATTGAAAGCCCTAATACGGGTATCTTGAAATTTTTGTGAGTTCAGGCGGGAATTTTATCAGTAGCTCGAGTCATCCTTTCAGTAGCTCGAGTCATCACAAAACAAGTTTCGTGTGCAAAACCTGCAAAATTGGTTTGTGTTCTACCAAAAAATTGTAACATGCTTTGAACAATTTCATGAAGAAATCTAAAAATTTGTAAATGTCTTTTTTTTATATAGGACTTATGTATATACATATATTTATCTCATTTATCCATATATATTCAAGAATATAGTGCATATCCAGAAAACCATGTATACAGCCATAATACATAGTTTTTTCATTACTTTACAAAAGCTTCTACTCATTTTCGTGCTTCACTGCAATGCTCGCGTAGTCGCACTTTAAGAGCTCTGGAGCAACTTTTTTTGTTGAAATTAAAACTTTAAAGTATAGTGCGCCACAAAGGGTTAATCACTGACAACCCTTTTAAAAAATTGAAGAATAAATTGTACTCGGGACATCACGCATAAAAATATTTCCCAGAGTCTTGAGACCCAAGATTCATGCAGCCGTGACTAAAGAGTTAAGGTAAAAACATTCTGCGGACACCGTGTCAAAAATGTTAATGGGAGAACTAAAAACGCAAACGATACCATTTTGACAGGAAGATAAAACTTGGTTTTGTATCATAACTCTTGGCCTAAGGCAACAATTACTTAATAACACCATACTCATTTCCCCACACCAAACATAAATTTGAAACTTCAGTTTCAATCCACAGAACCATGGCTTCGTTTACCTAGGACATAGAAGCTGTCTTACTGAGTTTATGTTATTGAAATAAAAATTAACTGCAATGTATATACAGAGAGATCTTACAACGTCATAGGAAACCATCCAAAGCAAACAGAAAGGGATTTAAACACATGGTTTGTAATCTGCCTCATGAAAAGTCTGGATTTACATTATCATGACTTCTCCTTTGGAAGAATTTTAACTGGTGATTTTTTATTTCCCATCTTATTGTCCAGAAATAGCGCCCCTATAACTTTCACATTTTATCATGTGATATGAAACATGAATTAATGACATGATTAAAGCGATAGGCGGGAAAAATTTCTTACAGAAATTCAAAGCTTGATTCCCGTATTTAGTGAATGTTTGGATAAGGACAGCATTTATATCAAAGCATAATATGATTTAAAGTAATTAATTTTTGGTAGAAGTTTAGGCCCAAAAACGTTTTTATTATGAATTAGCCACGGTATCTTTTCTTTTCGGATATGTCTTATATAAAACTTTATTTCTGAAATACTATGATAATGTTATTTATGCAAGGTATAAATCTGTTTAAATATTTATTAACGATCAATTTGGAACTCAAAGTATTCTGACAACTAAAATTTTATTAAGGTTAACAAATTAGACAAAACACGTCAAAGTTAAAACACGTCAGTGTTTCACATTTTAATGTTAAAAGAATAATACATTATTGAAAAAAGATACTTATGATTACAAATATAAACAATTACTAATAAATTGAATTATTCGAAACTGATTTATTTGATATATCAAGCGATTCTTTACTTTGGCAAAACTAGTGCATTAAATGTTATAAAAATGCTACTATCATTTGCATTTGATGAATATACAAACTGGATTTCTCAAAGTTTGACAAATTTCTTGCAAGAAAGTCCTCCATTTTGCCGAATACCATTAACCAGTTTGCTGATATTTAAATTACATATGCAGTTAAAATCTGTATTAAAGTCTCATATACAGAACTCATGAAGCAGAATGATCTAAATTTAATGAATTTATACATATATTCAAAGGAATACTGTATAGGAAGTGTATGCAATTTAACCATTACAACATTTTGTATCTTCTATTTGACCGAAATTTATAAGAGATGCCTGTGATAATCATATTAAATCCAATACGCTCATTTAGCGATATTTCATTTATTCATCTAAAGCTACTGCAGTCATAGGAATGCAAATTGTAGTCCTAGTTATTCAAGTTAAATATTTCGAAGATTATTTACTCGCTTGAACTGCGAGGAAAGAAGCTATTCAAATTGTCTGGTGGAAACTTAGAACGGTATTTTTAAGTAGTATTTCCCCAAATGGATTTGTAGTTCTGAACGTTTTTTCTTCTTTTATTGAAACAAAAGACAAATATTCAGTGAGCATATAAATAGTGCTATGTAATTCAGCAACATTACCAAATAATAAATTTCATATTTTCGCATTTGCTATTTCTTTCAAAGGGAAGTTGAAAAGAACATTAATATAACGAAAGTTAAATGCTGTCCACATCCTGCGTGTATTTTTAATCGTTCTTGTTGGAGCTTTCATTTATTCACTTCAAGATTTAAACATTTTCACGCATTCATTTCAGTCAGCAGACAAAAACTTAACACAAAGCAAATTATCACTACTTCTTCACATGACTTCTTTCATTATTTTACTCCAAGATATACATAACAGGAGTGGAAACATACTCTAATTATTATGAGCGTAAATAACTCTAATTATAAAAAGCATAATTCCGTATAAGCAATTTCCGTTTCTTTTTAAATATGCATTTTCGTTATTTAGATTGTCTTATGTTTACAAGTATTTTATTTTATTTTTCTCATTTTTCCATTTACCTTTAAAAAATGTATCGTCACTTCTTTCTTATACATTTCCTTTTTCTGTTAGCGTTTCTCTTTTTCCTTAATCCATCTCTTCATGTCTTTAGCAGAAAGCCTACTTTTTCCATTGCATATCTGCCGTTGAAATATGTTGCTGTTATCTGTTTGTCCTTTTTGATTATTAATGATTTCTTTATGAAATTGCTAATAATTTCTAAATGATTCTTGAAGATATTTGTAGACTTTATTTTTAAAGGTATTTTGCATTAACCAGATAGTGTGAAAAAAGGAAAAGAAAGAGAACTTTCATAGATTTACATACTATAAAAAATTATAATTGGCACTGTGATATAAAGCTCCCTATTTCAAAACAATTAACATAGTATTCTCCATGAAGCTTCCGAAATTTTAGGTTTATTTTATGTTACCGTACCTAAAATCATGGGCTTGTAGAGAAAATATTATCTTTCACACTCTTAAAGCTGTTTGCATATACCGCCATTCATTTGGAAACATTTTTTGCTGTTTTTCTTTCAAACTATCCCTCTTTTGTATTACATGTATGGTAATTCAAAGATGAAAACTGAAAACATTCTAGAATTCTGCGTTTTAAAATCGAGTATTTTCATGTTAGAATCGTATTTCAAAGTTTGTAAATTACGCTTATATTCGCAATGAGGAAGTTTCCTTTCTTACTACGAGTAAATCTACGAATTTCTCATGAAAATACAAACTTTATTAGAGCTATGAGCTCAATAATAAGAAAACAAAGGAATAAAAAGTGAATCATTGGATTAAATGTTATGAAATAAAGAATCGGTAACTTGGACTTGACCAAATTTCCTTCACAAACATATAGACAATTTTTCATACCGCAGTTTGAATACAATTACACTAAACTTAAGGAGTGGATAGAAAAAAATTTATTTAATTTAAAATTTTCTGAATGTAAATAATATGGACCGTGAAAAGCACAGCAGTTTGAAGTTCTTTGCTTATGCAGTTTTCCTCACAGACCTTAAATATCAAACTATTTTATAATGACTTAATTGTAATATTCTCAGTTGGATAACAAACTTAATGGTCTTTCTGTGTTCTTAATTAAATCTCATTTAATATCTTTACGTGGTTTTGAAATGCGACATCTTTGTGGAAAGAATAATTGCTTTATGTGGCATAATGATGTTAAAACCTTACAAATTATGTACCCGTCTGTTGGATAGTTCTTGCAAAAAGAAAACATATTTTTCTGAGTGATATCTTTTTACTAATGTGTTTCACAGCATTTATGACCAACGCTGAATTTCAGGCATCTTTAAGATTCTTGTGACTTTATATGCAACAAAACTTTGGGAAAGAGAATTTACAGAAATTTTAGTAGTTCTCCATTTGAATGTAATTTTTGTTAATAAGTTGAAAACGTATATGATTCTGAGAACATATTAATTAAGAGCATATTGCTTACTGACAATAATTTTTAATAAATATTAAACTACATTTTACAGTAAAGAATATTTTACTCTTTTAAATTCGCATTTTAAAATGTGAAGAAACTGAAGCGAAATAAAAATAGCTTTCTCAAATCCGATTAATCTGTCCACATATCACCAAAACATCTTAACATTTACTCAGGATTTTTGACAAAAACATTTATATCTGAAATAAAATGAAATGTTAAAATATAACATGTTTAGTATGTCTGATTCATATATTATTAGTACTCACCTAATTTTTAATTCACACATTTCTCAGTTTAAAACTTTGACTACACTATAAATTTCTGCTTATAATGAATAAGAACAGAACTTACATATTTGAAATATCAGTTTATGCACAAATTTCACCAAACATATAAAAAATTCAATATAATTTGAAAATGCAGATATTTGACATCGTGCTTCATTAAAGATGAGAATGCCATAATGTTACGGTATCATGTCATGAAGGAGAGAACGAAAGAAAATAATTTTCATGAACTTCTACTATGACAATTTTTGAGCAGTGTTTTTACTCATGTTAACCTCATTAACTGTCATTTGGAAACATATATAAAGATTTTTCGCCAAAAATTCTCGAAGTTTCCGATTTTATATTCATTCCGAGTCAATGTACACTGCCCATTCTTAGATTCATTATCAACATCCTCGTGTCCTTCACGAAGTAGCCTGTACCACTTGCAAACTTCGAACTGTATTAACGCTTAATCCCCATATGCTTTATACAGCATTTCAAAGGTCTTCGTCACTTTCTGTTATGCTTTACAAGAAAACTCTATCGTTATTTTTTGCTCAATTTTCGAATTCATGATAACAGATATTCACTGAAGGAAAGTAGGTGAATAACTGCATAGAAACTTCTAGCGGTAAATAAACGATATTTTGTAACGATAAGTTGATATGTCATAGTAATAAATGCTGTAAAATCCCATTTGACAGGTTTGTTAAAAATTTATTAAAAGTGTTTAGACCTAAAAATTTCTAGATAAATTACGAATTATTTTAATTATTTTAGTAGTTTATGGTAGTTTTTCACTGATAATGGAAATGTTAATTTCCTTGCTATTCTTGGTTTGTCTTTATTATTTCAGAATACATTTGTTAACAACTTAATCATATAAGCATTATAAAAAGTTTTGCTACTTTTGTGTTTTTCAACAGCTGGGCCGAAGATCGCAAGCTTTAGCTTCAGAGACAACCTTCACGAAGGAATGAGGACAGCAGTAACTTGTATTGTTATAGCGGGTGACGGGCCTCTGACGACAACTTGGCTTAAAAATGGTCGCCCTCTTGAGGAAGAAGAACTTGATGCGATGGTCGTATATGCAGATGATGGTTTCGTGTCTACTCTAACATTAAAAAATTTGGGGTATAGACATAATGGAAACTACACATGCGTTGCCAAAAATGATGTGGCTTCTGGATACTATAGTGCAACATTAACTGTAAAAGGTGAGATTTCAAGATTTGAGTTAAAAATTACTTTGTTTTCATAAATATTATTATCATGAAATAGCCTTAGTTTACGTAATATTTAATAGATTTAACATCAAATAAACATTTTTTTCATCATAAGAAAATGTATTCAATACATAATTCGCAATAATGTCAAACATGATAAATTTCATTGATAGCAAGATCCAGTTTCCTGGACAAATAAACTAATTAAAATGACTTTGTTATTAGGTCAACTAAAGTCGATCATTAACAGCCACAGTATTTTTCTGCCTTAAAACAATATCTAATTCCTTGCTTGCAAGGAATAACGAAGACTTGGTTTTCAGGCAGTCAGTCACTCAACTGCAAAATCTTGGAAAATTATTTCAAGTTTTATTTACGGCTGATGCTTTCTCAAATTAACCGACGTATTGTTTATGCTTATGCTTCATGCAATCTTATCAAATGGGATTTCTCTAGAAAATATTTCAGTACAAAAATATTAACTTTATCTACAAAACTGCTAATTAATTCTTGAAATTTATAACATAATTAAATAGGAGGAATAAAAATCCATTTCTATAATTAATTTAAGGTTTTCTGAATCAAGAAGCAAATGTTTCTTTTAAAATAATTCGAACAAAAACTTAATATCAGTAATAATATAAGTTAATTACCATTAATTTGCATTTTAACTAAAGAAAGAATATTGTGGAAGGGTAGCTTTAACAACTGACATATAAATCATAAAAATGAAAATTGACAATTCTTTTGAAACAAGTGGTATCATATTTGAGAGCCATATTTTTCCCCTGCTGCAAAGAATTAACATCAATGAGTGTTTACTAAAAAGAACTACATATGACAGAAAAATTCTCGTAGTCTGAAGCCGTATTGGATGATCGAACTAGGTGTATTAAGTCGACAAGAAAGAAAAAAATAACCAGATAGCCTGTCATGTTACCCAGATTTCCGCCATAGTTTTGCACAAAAAATCCTGATATCATCTAATAGGTCAGTTACAAAAAAGTCTTTTTATTTTTAATTACTTTCATTTCACATCTTTAGAACTTTCGCCAGACTATAGCCCCTTTAGAATTCATTTTGTGATTTCAAAATCGAGAATCACTGACTACGTGACTTGTAACAGTAAACAGATCCTGCGGCTGGAATCTTCGAGTGTAGATATTGTTCTTTCGCAAAATCTGTCTCGTCAGATTTCATTAAATCTGACAACAAAAAAATATGCAGTTTTGGTTTTTTTTTGACGAAAAAGAGGATAAAGTATGACAACTGTGCAAAAAGTGAGTAAAGTATTTCAAGTTAATTCTGGACCATCCGCTTAACAAAAGATACATAATATGCCATAAGAAAGCAGATGCAGCATTTATGGACATCTCACGCAGCAGCATTATAAATCACATCTACTTGTTTAAAGATCTATACACATGGGCCAATAAATATATACACATATTCCTTTAGGAATATTTTAGTAATAATACTCCTAAAATGCTATCTACATAAATTTTACATCTTTCAAAGCAAGACTTTGAGACATATGAATAATGCAGCATAATATGCAAGGAACATTAAGCTGCGTTCGTACTGTAAAACTGGCATCATAAACAATATGGCATTAAAATGTAGGTGCTTCTCTGAGTAAGGAATACCTTAAATAGAGGAACGGTGGTACTGTCAAATTATGATTCGACAGTGGAATCTCTATTTAAATGTCTATGTTTACTAATTCAGAACTTCAGTTACTGTTAAGTTAATTATTCATCAAAGAGTTAGTTATACTGCTATCGTCAAACAGAGACACTTTGTATGTTCAGCAAATAGCCGTCAAAGCCTAAAGATATATGTTAAAAATTTTGAGTTGAGAGCAAAACGGGTGAAAGTTTATTTAAATATATGATACACGGTCTTAGTTTTCATTATTTTTATATCCTTTTCCAACAGCTCGACGAAGAGAATGTGGGGAATTTTCTCTGTTAAAAAGAATGAACTATGTTTAATTAATGATTAAAATTTATCAGTAATTAAAGCAAGCAATCAGTTTATTAAGTTATAATTAATTCTATTAGTCTAAAGTGGTAATTTTCGGAATCATTACTAAATTAATTGTAAGAGTTATTTTAATAGTCTTAGGACTTTTGAAGCAGTTGTACTTTAACGGACAATTTCAACTCGCGATTGTGAAATGCAAAGTATATCAGCTAGTGACTTATTTTATGATGCATTTAACAAAACACAGCTTTCGTATTAATATTTTATTTTTACTTTCTAAACTTTAAAGTGATGCATACTTCAGAAATCTCCTTAGTATTGGAGATTACTTACTGAGAGGTGTTTGGGACTACATAATCGTGCTATAGTATGACTGGAATAAAAATATTGAAATAAAATTTTTCGATACAGCTGGCTATTGGATATGTTGTGGTAGTATGCCAACAATTTGTCAGGCTCACCCAAACGGATGAATCCTTATATTAAAAGAAAGAAAACCATGTAGTTACATTCGCTTATTCGATTTTTCTAAAATGATTTCTCTATAATAGTTTCAAGTAGAAAAAAGTGAGTAAATTTTAAGTTTAAAACAACGAATCTATTGTGATAAGGTGGCATAAAGATTCTTTGTCGAGGGTGAGTGATTTCAATGGGCAATAGTTTTCATATCAGTGGTGAAATCCTGTGCCTTTGTTGATGATTCCGGATGCAGCCTCGAAGGTCACTCCAGTCATATACCAAGAACTTGTGGCACCCATGCAAAGGCAAGTTGCAGCTCTTTAAATACGACGTTATAAAGTATCTTCTCCCTGTTGTTCAGCATGCTTTCGTGGTGTAACGGCAGCACACTCGGCGCATATTCGAAAAGTCCAGGTTCGAGTTTAGGCAAAGGCAGTGCATAATTTTCACGTCTCCTGTTTCAAAAACTCCTAATAACCATACAGTGGCGCCCGAACTAAAAGGTGGTGGACAATAATTCGTCACCACCAAGATTTGGCGATTGGGTCCCCTAATCCCCAAGCGCTTGTGGCATCCATGCTGAGGCGAGTTGCAGCTCTTTAAATGCGAAGTTATAAGGAATATTCTCCCTCCTTCCAGCATGCGTTTGTGGTGTAAAGGTAACACACTCGGTCCGTATTCGAGAGGTCCAGGTTTTTTTTTTTTTTTTTTTTTTTTGTTTTTTTTTTTTTTTTTTTTTTATTGAAAATTTTAAATCCTTGTGCACCACATAGTATTACACAAGGCTTACAGAGGTAAGTAAAAAAAAACAACAAAATACAAACAAACAACAAAATAAAATAAACTTACAAATTCCAGATGATACGTAAGAGATAAATTTACAGAAAAAAGAGAAAGCCATTTTATGTTGAACAAAACATGAAGAGGGGGAGGAAATGAAATATTCACAGAGTTTAACTTAGAATAGAAATGAGTTCCTTTCGTCGTTCCTTGAGCTTGAACATAGAACAACAAAAAATGTTCGACATTTTTGCACTCCCCGAAACTGCATGAACCACAGTCGTTACTAGGTAATCTAAATCTCTTCAGATATGAATTGAATTTACCATGTCCAGTTAGAAATTGAGTAACTTCAAAATGCAGAAAAAGGTTTATTATTCAGTCTGTGAGGAATGGAAGAAAAATTAGTTTAGTCAAAGAGGGCAGTAGTAGAATTCCTGTATAGTTCATTCCACTCGAGTATTGTATCATCCCTACTTTTGTTCTTGTAAAAGACTTAGGAAGTATCATTGGAGTAATTACTTGAAGATGTGTAGCTTGTTTTGCCAACCAATCAGCCCGTTCATTTCCTAGATTGCCAGTTGTGGCCACGTACATGAGAAAAGATAACATCAACACCTTTATTATTAAGGTCTTTAAGAAGAGCATGGGAAGTCACAATTAATTTATTATATGAGAAGATATTCCTAAGAGAAATAAGGATGAAAGAGAATCAGTGCGAATAAGAAATTTAGCACTTAGCGAACAGTTGTTAGATATCCACTTAATTGACTCACTAATGCACAGTAATTCGGCTTGGAAACACTGCATTCATTGGGAATTCTAAAGAGTTTGTATTCCAGTTCAGAACCATTATGGAAAACGACATAAGCTAATCCAACTCGATTATTAATTTTACTGCCATCTGTATAACACACAACAGGGAAATTATCATCAACAGAATTGTCATAAATGATAGTTTGAATTGGCAAACGATGGCAGGACAGGATGAGGAAGATTCTTCAAACAACACCTTGGCATCGAACATAAATTTGCTGATGGTATCTTTAAACTTTTGTCATTCAAAAACATGAAGGTCAATCGGAGGAAAATCCTGAAATTGCGAACAGGCTTCATAGCTAATTGTTCTGTAGCCACGCACAACTCTTAGTAAAATTCTTCTTTGAATTCTGCGAAGTAGTACGGGAATAAATCTTCTTTTCTAAGCTGTTCCCCACACTCGAGAAGCATAGCAAATAAAGGGGACAATATCCTGCTTATAAATCATATCATAACATTAACTTTTAAACCAAAAGTATTGCAAGAGACACGAGTAAGTCCTCTAAGTATATTTTCACACTTATTGGATAAATATAATAATATGATTTTTCCAACAAAACTTATGATCAAGAATAACGCCTAAATATTTAATTTCATTCACCGTTTCGAGTAAGGTATTATCCAAGTACAGTTGTTGGTTTGTTATAGCTGACATGCTTTCTTTTAATTATCATAATTTTAGATTTATTAGGATTGGAATTCCAATTCTGTTCTCTGGACCAATTGGAATAATAGTAAGGGTGTTTGGAGCCGTATTAAAGAGAGTAATGGGGACACTTCCTTGAAAGCAAATTAGTAGATCATCAGCAAAAGCAATTGTTTACAACTCGGACAATGTGAGAGTCTATTGAGTAGATCCTTCATAATTTAAATTCCACAATAAAGGTCCGGAAACCGAGCCTTGAGGGCAACCTCTTTCCAAAATGCGGGAGGAAGAAACGTGGCCA